GGAGTGGGGAATAACCTGAGGGTGTTCCAGACTAAAGGGGAGATCGACACCACAGTCCAGGGAGAGAGGACTGTACAGGAATATGCTATAGAGCTAGAGCGCCTGTGGCTGAATTATGATCATTTTCCCCCTGGCTAGCTGTAAGGACCCGGGATGTAAAGAGTGGGAGGCCTTTCTATAGGAGAGGACTATGGTGTTTCTCAAGGGATTGACATCAGAGTTCGCTCAGCGAATTGCATTACTGCTAGCTCAGCCGAAAATTCCCACGCTTGAGGAGGCTGTCTCGGCTATGATCTAGGAGGAGACACGCATTAGGCTGCAGGTGGGGATAGGTGGACTTCCTTTGGTGAAGTCAGCATTGGCAGCATCTAGCAATACTGGATCCAGGGGAGAGACTTGGCAGTGCTACAACTGCGGTGAAGTGGGTCATCTAAGGCATGCTTGCACCAAGCCACCCAAGGAAGGAAATTCGGGTGGACATGGATAGTTCGGAGGGCATGGTCGTGGCCGTGGGGGTCGACGAGGTGGAAGGGGAGTAGGCAACCGGACGAATCTGATGGTAGTAGAAGGAGGAGAAGAACCTGGAGGGTTACTTGACCGGAGAGAAGACAGAACCGGATGAGGACTCAGGAGGACGTGATGAGTGGAAGTCCACTCATATGTTGGTGTACATCTGGCTTCTCAACTCGTTGGTTCCGACGATCGCCGCCACAGTGGATGGCATTGAGAAGGTGAAGGACGTCTGGGAGAAGTTGAGGAGGAAATATGATGGAGTGGGGAATAACCTGAGGGTGTTCCAGATTAAAGGGGAGATTGACACCATAGTCCAGGGAGAGAGGACTGTACAGGAATATGCTACAGAGCTGGAGCGCCTGTGGCTGGATTATGATCATTTTCCCCCTGTGCTAGCTATAAGGACCCGGGATGTAAAGAGCGGGAGGCCTTTCTACAGGAGAGGACTATGGTGTTTCTCAAGGGATTGACATCAGAGTTCGCTCAGCGAATTGCATTACTGCTAGCTCAGCCAAAAATTCCCACGCTTGAGGAGGCTATCTCGGCTATGATCCAGGAGGAGACTCGCATTAGGCTGCAGGTGGGGACAGGTGGACTTCCTATGGTGAAGTCAGCATTGGCAGCATCTAGCAATACTGGATCTATGGGAGAGACTTGGCAGTGCTACAACTGCGGTGAAGTGGGTCATCTAAGGCATGCTTGCACCAAGCCACCCAAGGAAGGAGATTCGGGTGGACATGGACGGTTCGGAGGGCGTGGTCGTGGCCGTGGGGGTCGACGAGGTGGAAGAGGAGCAGGCAACCGGGCGAATCTGATGGTAGCAGAGGGAGAAGAAGAAGCTGAGGTGGTCTTTACTGAGGAGGATCAGGCACTCCTGGCGATACTCAGGAGGAAGCAGAAAGTAGCAGGGGATGGAGACAGGAGGAGTGGGACAGAGGAGGCATCCACGTCGTTCTTCGCCAGAGGCAACACTGCTACCTATGCTCATCCGACCAAAGGTACTGATGACATACATGTTCTTACTTCTATGTCTCCCGACAAATCATCAGAATGGATAGTCGACTCCGGTGCGTCTCGACATGTGACAGGTAATGCTAGTGAGTTCTCATCATATACTCACCTAGCATCGCCTGATAGTATTCAAATAACTGATGGTACATTTCAGCCGGTGGTTGGTAAGGGTACAGTCGATTGACTGGTTCTGTAAATTTATCCAATGTTTTGCATGCTCCTTCCTTTCCAGTCAATCTTTTGTCCATTAGTGCAATCATCCTCCAACTAAAATGTATTGTTTCTTTTGATATTTCTAAGGTGATTTTCCAAGAGAAGGGGACAGGGCGAAGACTTGGGACTGATACATGGCGTAGTGGACTGTAGTATCTGGATCGTGAAGGGCTGGATTCAGCGTTAGTGTCAATCATAGAGAAAGCAGGAGTAGGACCTAAAATGAGTGCTGAGAGTGAGTTAATGTTTCATCACCAGCGTTTGGGACACTCATCGTTTAGTATTTTAAGTAGATTGTATCCATCTTTATTTGAGAAAGCAAATAAATAGGAACTTGTGTGTGATGCATGTGAGTTTGGAAAGCTTACTAGAAGCTCTTATGTTAGTTCTGGTCATAGAAGTTCTCATGCATTTGACTTGGTACATTCAGATGTTTGGGGACCTTGTTCCACAAGTTCTATGAATGGATACAAATATTTTGTTACCTTTATTGATTGTTTCTCTCGTGTTACTTGGTTATACCTGATGAAAAATAAGAGTGAAGTGTTTTGTTGCTTCCAAAACTTTCATAGGAATGTTCAGACTCAATACGGAGCAGTGGTGAAGGTATTGAGGTCGGATAATGGGACAGAGTATACCAACAAAGCGCTTGAAAAATATTTGTCAGCTCAGGGAATATAGCACCAGACGACATGTTCATACACACCAGCTCAGAATGGGGTAGCGGAAAGGAAGAACAGACATCTTTTAGAGGTTGCTAGAAGCATGATGATCTCTATGAATATCCCAGAAATATTATGGGGGCAAGCAGTATTGATCGCTGCAGCGCTGATCAACAGAATGCTCTTAAGAGTACTGGATTGGAAGTCTCCGTGTGAGACGTTGAAGGGAGATAATGGTGGGATTCTTCCACTTAAAGTGTTTGGTTGTGTGTGCTTTGTGAAGGACAATAGGCCATCCGTCGGGAAGCTTGCCCCTAGAGCTGTGAAGTGCATCTTTGTGGGATATTCTGCTACTCAAAAGGGATATGTTTGTTGGAGCCCGGTGGAGAAAAGGTTGTTTGTGAGTATGGATGTGCACTTTTGAGAACTCGAGCCATATTACACCCGGAAGGTAACTTCATCCATTGGTAACTCGCCCAATACTAGAAGTATGAGGTGAGAGGAGGAGAATGGTTAGAGATCAGTGAACAATGTGGAGAAATTAATTTCTGTATCGATTCCTTGGGAGGGAGAATTGGTTGAGGAGGAGCAGGAGAATGAAGAAGAAAAGGAAAATGAGACAAGAGGTGTTAGGCCCACGGTTCAGGGGGAGCTACTAACCTATAGTAGGAAGGGGAAGCAAATTGCAGGAACAGTACGTACAGTACCACTAGTGCTGCCTAGTCTCTTACCAACGCCTGCCACGACTCCTGAGACACCGACACCACCACCAGATTCATCCCAAGGTGATAACATTCCTCTCCCTACTCCTCCCACACCAATATCAGTACGGAGGACTATTCGTAGTAATGCGGGAAATCCTCCCGATAGATATGGATGGGATCTTGCCCAGTTTGTATCATATTCTAACATTCATCCTGCACATGGAGCATTCATTGCATTATTGGACTCTGTTACTATACCTAACAATTGACAGGTTGCTAAGAAAGACCCTAAGTGGAAAACGGCGATGCACGAAGAGCTAGGGGCCCTTGAGAAGAACCGCACTTGGGAGTTAGTAAAACTACCAAAAGGGAAGAGAGCAATTGGATACAAGTGGGTCTTCACTGTGAAGCAGAATTCAGACGGACAGATTGAGCGCTACAAAGCTCGTCTAGTGGCAAAAGGATATAGTCAGACATATAGCATCGACTATGATGAGACTTTTACACCGGTAGCGAAGATGAGCACTGTTCGGACCTTGATCTCTTTGGCAGTAAATGATGGATGGAAGCTACACCAATTAGATGTGAAGAATGTATTTCTTCAGGGAGATCTGGTGGAAGAGGTATATATGAAAATTCCGCCAGGATTCGACACAGATCAGACAGTGGGTAAGGTCTGCAGATTAAAGAAGTCTCTCTATGGGCTGAAACAGTCTCCCCGTGCTTGGTTCGACAGATTCAGGAGGGCTATGCTAGGTATGGGGTACCAGCAGATGAACACCGATCATACCGTGTTCTTTCGACGAAATGAATGTCACATCACCATGCTTGCGGTATATGTGGATGATATGATTATTACAGGGGATGATGAGAAGGAGATTGCCCAACTCAAAGTGAGACTGGGTAAGGAATTCGAGGTGAAAGATCTTGGCTTGCTTCGATACTTTCTTGGAATAGAGATAGCTCGAGGAGCAGAGGGGATTGTCCTATCCCAGAGAAAATATGCACTGGATCTTCTCAAAGAGACAGGGATGTTAGGGTGTAAACTTGCAACTACACCGATCGACCAGAAGTTCAAGCTGGGTGCTGAAGCTGGAGAACCAGTTGATCGTGACAGATACCAAAGGCTGGTGGGCAGGTTGATATATCTGAGTCACACACGTCCTGATATCTCTTGTGCAGTGAGCGTGGTGAGCCGCTACATGCATGATCCGAGGAAGGGTCATATGGACGTTGTGTACCAGATTCTGAGATATTTGAAGAGTACCCCCGGAAAATGGCTGATATTCAGAAAGAATGGACATGTGAGTATTGAGGGTTACTGCGACTCTGATTGGGCTAGCTGTGCTGATGACAGGAGGTCCACCTCAGGATACTGCATCTTTATAGGAGGCAACTTAGTCTCGTGGAAGAGCAAGAAGCAGTCAGTGGTGACGAGATCGACAACTGAGGCAGAGTATAGAGCTATAGTCTTAGGAGTTGCTGAGTTGCTATGGTTAAAGAGTATGCTGGTGGAGCTGAAGCTGGATCAAGAAACTAAGATGAAGTTGTGGTGTGATAACAAGTCAGCTATCAGTATCGCCAACAACCCAGTGTAGCATGATAGAATCAAACACATCGAGATTGATAGGTTCTTCATCAAAGAGAAGTTGGATAGTGGACTACTGGAGCTAAGTCATGTTTTAACTAAGGACCAAGCAGCAGATTGTCTGACTAAGGGACTTAGCTCATTAGATATGATTAGAGGATGTGACAAGATGGGCTTAGTAGATATCTTTCGCCCATCTTGAGGAGGAGTGTTGACATATTAGTAATATATAGAGACTTATTTATAAGTTGTGTTTTGTAGGGGCCTATATAAGCCCAAGTTATCTTAGCAATGAATTAGGGTTTTTATATATTTCTACTAGTTATAAGCTAGGTAAGATGTCCTCGAGATTTTTCGACGTATTAAATTTACCTTCTGGAACTTAGATATAAAAAAAAAGTTATTAAGAATAAGACTAAAAGTGTATGATAATTTCAACAAAAAAAAACCTTGATTGTATTTTTTATGAAATCTCAGATGATGGGGTATGGATGGGCTGGTGTCTTCAGAAAATTCCTTGTTGATTCTCCTTATATGTGGTGGCCTTCTAACCTAGTACAAGTCTCACTATTCAGGTATTATCTCGAAATTTCTACAACTTTACCCGTAAAAATTTCTAAACATTTTTTCTGTATATAGGGCGTTACACGATATCGAAAAGAGGCCAAAGGGAGGATTAACAAGGCTCCAATTCTTCCTCATAGTCTTGATCTCAAGCTTCTCATACTACATTGTACCTAACTACTTCTTTCAATCAATCACTGCCCTCTCATTCATTTGCTGGATATGGACGAACTCTGTAACAATGCAACAAATTGGTTCAGGTCTATTTGGCCTCGGCGTTGGAAGCTTTGGTCTCGACTGGTCCACTGTAGCTGGATTTCTTGGAAGTCCATTGGCTACACCGGGGTTTGCTATAATCAACATAATGTTTGGTTTCTTTATGATTCTTTATGTGATTACACCGATTGCTTATTGGACGAACACCTATGAGGCTAAGAGGTTTCCTATATTTTCTCCTGGTGTGTTTACGGGTAATGGAAGTGTGTATGATGTTAACAAAGTGTTGAATCCGAAAACATTCGAGTTTAGCCAAGTAGGGTATGATCAAGTTGGTCAGGTTAATTTGAGCATCTTCTTTGTTATAACCTATGGATTGAGTTTTGCTACTTTGGCTGCGACTTTGTCTCACGTTGGTCTCTTTCATGGAAGGTAATTTCATCATGTACTGTATTTTCTTAAATTACTTTTAAGACCTTGAGCATAGAAAATTATATTTTAAGAAACTGGCATTTCAATTGAATAGCGATTATTATCGTGCACACAATGGTCTGATGCCATATGATCACAGTTTCGCCTAAAACATGAAGGTCGTAGACGCACAGACAGGAACAAGAAAAACGTCCAGAATCCTTGTTTCCTGACAAGAATTACTCAGCTAATACTTCCTGAGTTATATTCTTTTGATAAATCTTTTTTGATTAAGTTTAGAGCGTATAAGTGTATAAATTGCTCTTTCCTGGACTTTAAATTCATATTGGTTTACTTTATCAGTATCACATATATGTGTGTGTGTATAATTACACAAGTAAATCTAGTAAATATAGTCTTTTGTGCCTGTGATATGGAGATATTGAGATAGGCTTGCACAGAAGAAAGAAGTTGATTTAGCAAAATAAAATATTCTGGCTAATAATTCTGTTTTAGATACAAAGTAATTGTGACAAAAACACCAAAGTTTTGTAAAGTCATGCATATTAAAATTGAATGAAATTTTTGTTTCACTTACATTTTCATCGATCAAACTAGGAAAAAGATCAGCAAATTTCTGACTTGTTCCTTTAATCATATCGCAGGTCAATATGGAGGCAGACAAGAGAGTCATTCCAGAATCAAATTGGTGATGTGCACACGAGACTCATGAAAAAGAACTACAAAGATGTCCCTCAATGGTGGTTCTATGCAATCTTGATATCAATGTTAGCCCTCGCAATCGCCACCTGTGAGGGCTTCGGCAACCAGCTGCAGCTCAGATACTGGGGAGTGATACTCGCCGGTGGCTTGGCTCTGCTCTTCACTCTCCCAATTGGCATCATTACAGCAACAACAAATCAAGTACAAATATCTCTACTTATCTCAATCCCTTCAACCCTACCTTTTTTTTCGCCAGCAGACTAATTTTCCTTATTACTGCAAAAATATCAGCAACCAGGGCTAAATGTCATCACGGAGCTAATAATCGGTTATGCATACCCGGGAAGGCCCCTTGCCAATGTGTCCTTCAAAACCTATGGATACATAAGCATGTCTCAAGCTATTATGTTCCTTCAAGATTTTAAACTGGGTCATTACATGAAGATCCCTCCAAGATCCATGTTCCTTGTGCAGGTAAACGAAATTGCACAGACTCCCTGTAGTGTTGCTCTTTTGTACTTACTACCCCTGAGTGATTTTTTTTTTTTTTTTTTTGGCTCTTTCTCTCTTGGATAAAGAGAATTGTTTTTGAGAAATAGACCCCCTGAGGGTAAACAAGTTAAAAAGTTTCATTCAGGGTACATCTGCAACAATAGAACTAGATGAGCTGTAAACCCAAAACTACTAATTCAATTTCTTTCAAGTACAACCAAGTTAACAATCCTTCACAACTTTGCCATATATCTCTCCAGCTTGTAGGAACAATTATAGCATCCTCAACATACTTTGGAACAGCATGGTGGCTCTTGCACAAGATCGAAAACATCTGTGACCCTTCAAAGCTACCGGAGGGCAGTCCATGGACTTGTCCTGGAGATGCAGTTTTCTACAGCGCATCAATTATATGGGGCGTTGTCTCTCCTCGAAGAATGTTTGGAAATCTCGGCCTCTATGAAAAAGTTAACTTCTTCTTTCTTGTCGGTCTATTAGCCCCCCTGCCAGTTTGGGTATTATCGCGCATATATCCAGAAAAAAAATGGATCAAATTGATTAATATGCCGGTAATATTGGGGGCAACGGGTAATATGCCACCTGCAAGAGCTGTGAACTTTATAATGTGGGGAGCAGTTGGGATATTCTTCAACCTTTTTGTGTATAGGAGATTCAAAGGGTGGTGGGCTAGGCACAATTATGTGTTATCTGCAGGTTTAGATGCTGGAGTGGCTTTTTTGGCTATACTTTCATATTTTACACTGCAGAGTAACAATATTAATGGACCCAAATGGTGGGGACTGGAGTTGGATGATCATTGTCCATTGGCTAGTTGTCCTACTGCTCCAGGGATCAATGTTGAGGGTTGCCCTCTCTATGAGTGAGGAGAGCAGATGAGTATTTGTCGTGTTTTTTAAGAAAATTTGAAATCAATTCAAAAGGTTGTTGAAAGTGAATGTAAGCAGTCCTAGTGTTGAGTTAAGAAACCCTCAGCGGTCCACAACGGTCTGATCAAATGTACCAAAATAACACATTAAACACAAAACCAAAAAATAGAGAGACAATCACAAACACACAATATTTACGTGGTTCGAT